GCAGGCTGCCCCTACCCAGCCCCCTGCGCCCCCCGCCAGCATGAAGAAGTACGAAGAGCCTCTGCAGTCCATGATCTCCCAGACCCAGAGCCTTGGTGGGCCCAGCCTGGAGCACGAGGTGCCCCACCACCCAGGTGCTGACATGGGACAGCAGATGAACATGATGATGCAGCGGCTGAACCAGGACAGCCTGACACCAGAGCAAGTGGCCTGGAGGAAGTTGCAGGAAGAGTACTATGAGGAAAAGCGACGGAAAGAGGAGCAGATCAGCATCCATGGCCGGCCCATGCAGGAGATCATGATCCCGCAGTCGATGGGGAGCATGATGATGCGCGGGCCCCCACCACCCTATCACAGCAAACCTGGAGAGCAGTGGCCACCGGGGATGGGCAACCAGCTGCGGGGACCCATAGATGTGCAGGACCCTATGCAACTGCGGGGAGGGCCACCCTTCCCAGGGCCACGGTTCCCTGGGAATCAAATGCAGAGAGTCTCTGGCTTTGGAGGGATGCAGAACATGCCCTTGGATGCTCTCGGGCCCATGAATGCCATGCAGAGGCCAGTCAGGCCCGGCATGGGATGGAGCGATGATATGCCTCCTATGGGAGGCCCCGGGAACTTTCCACAAGGCACCCTGCCCTACCCATCAGGGCAAGGGGACCCCGAAAGGTTCATGAATCCCCGTGCCAGGGAGGAGATCCTGCGGCATCAGCTGATGGAGAAACGCCCGGTGGCAATGCAGAGGCCTATGGGGATGTCCGGCAACTCCATGAGCAGCCAAGGCATGGAAATGGAGAGGATGATGCAGGCTCACAGGCAGATGGATCCATCCATGTTTGCTGGGCAGATAACAGGGGAGGGCCTGGGCAGTGGCCCAATAGGAATGGATTTTGCAGGTGCTCGGGGGATGCTGAGCCCCCCTATGAATCAGTCTGGCCTTCGGGACATGGATGCACCCATGGGCCCTGGCAACCTCAACATGAACATGAATGTCAACATGAACATGAACATGAACCTTAACGTCCAGATGACGCCGCAGCAGCAGATGATGATGTCGCAGAAGATGAGGGGGCCCGATATGATGGCCCACCAGGGCATGAGCCCTGAGGAGCTGGCCAGGGTGAGGGCTCAGAATGGCAACGGCAGTGCAATGCTGGGAGGGCCCCAGAAAATGATGATGCCCTCCCAGTTCCCCAGCCAAGGGCAGCAAGGCTTCTCGAGCGGGCAGGGGCCTTACCCCAACATGCCGCAGGAGATGGGCAGCGGCTCAGACATGTTCAGCCCTGAGCAGGGCACCATGCCCGTTGGCAGCATCAGTGGTACCACCAGGCTCAGCCATATCCCTCTGCCACCAGCCTCTAATCCGGCTCCCACGCAGGGGGGAAACCTGGCCAACATGCACCCAGCACCTTCCCGGGGACTGGGCCGCCGGCCTTCTGACCTCACCATCAACATCAGTCAGATGAACTCCCCCAGCATGGGTCACCTCAAGTCTCCCACCCTCAGCCAGGTGCACTCGCCACTGGTCACCTCCCCCTCTGCCAACCTCAAGTCCCCACAAACGCCCTCACAGATGGTCAGCATGCCACCTTCAAATCAGTCTGGACCCCTCAAGTCCCCCCAGGTGATAAGCTCCTCGCTGAATGTCCGGTCTCCAACTGGCTCGCCAAGCCGCCTGAAGTCCCCTTCTATGGCTGTTCCTTCCCCTGGTTGGGTGCCGTCTCCCAAAGCCACCATGCCCAGCCCAGGAGTCAACCAGAGCAAGCAGACTCTCAGCATGAACTCATCTACTGCCATGGGAGGACTGGATCAGGGTATGCTGGGTATCTTGTGTGCACGTGTGCGTTTGGTTTGGGTGAGTGTGCGGATGGTGTTTCCTCCAGCTTGCGTGCTCTCGCCACAGCGGTGCCTGTACATCTCAGGGTGGAGGGGCATGAGTCTTTTTTCCCAGGAGTCCAAACAGGGCCTTGTCAGGTAGATGGGAGCATGAACAAAGCAGCTTTTACTTCAACCCTGGTGCACTCTCTGTGATAGAGGCACCAAAAGGCGTGTCTGTGCTGGGTGGTTTAAAGTCAGGGGGCCGGTTAGCTCAGTCAGTAGAGCGTAGCACTAACAACGCTAAGGTCGCGGGTTCAATTCCCGTTTGGTCCCCATGTGTTGCCTGATCTAGTCGAGAGGTGGCATCCCTGGTGGCAGGGAGGCTGGATTAAATGATCTCTAAGGTCCCTTCCAGCTTAGGCCATGATATGATAAAGTGAAAGTCCATCACCCTGCTGGAGCAGGATCTCCGCATGAGCCTCCTCGGCATCTGGAGGGTGCTGGGCTGTGTCAGTTCTGCATTTTGCAGCTTCCTCTTGTCACTGCCATCAGAAGGAGAGGATGGGGTCACTGTCTGATGGGAGCACGCCACGGTGCGCTAAACTGGTCTCTCTCTTGCTTGCAGGTTCTCTCCCTTCTGGGCCTCGGAGCAGCTCTTCCGCACCTGGCAGTAACACCTCTAGCACCATGAATCCCAACATGCCTTTTACTTCCTCTCCAGATCCATCCCCCTCCCAGAACCCCCTCTCGCTGATGATGTCCCAGATGTCCAAGTACGCCATGCCCAGTTCCACACCACTTTACCACAATGCCATCAAAACCATTGCCACCTCTGATGACGAGCTGCTGCCGGACAGGCCTATGCTCCCGCCTGGAAGCATGTCAGGTACGTGCCTCTGGAGCTGAGCTTGGGAGGTGTCAGACCGTCTCGTGGCTTCTGGCAGGCCTGTTGCTCCACGTTGGAGAACCTGTTCTCCTGCTGGAAGTTTTTGGAACTACCTTTACCTCATGTGGCTGTGTTGGCCCTGGGTTTTCATGGCTCCTGAAGTTGTCTTGGGCCCAGGACTTGCAAGCAGATTTCTACAGCTCGGAGCCCTGGTGTTCTTGTGCAGCGGGACAGGGATGCTCTTAACTGGGTTTGGGAGTCTGGTGTTTTGAGTGGAGGCCAGGTGCCTGCACAGGCAAGGCTACGTCATAGCTTAGTTCTGATTTCAGTAGACGACAGCCTGATACGCTCCACTAGCTGGTAGCACTGGTGAGGCCAGCTAGGCAAATGAGCGTTTTTCTTCACTTGGTGACCAGCCCCAAGGGGAATTCCAGCATGCTGCACCACTTGATTTAAAGGTTTAAAGCTGTCTGATACGTATTTTTGGCAGTTTTCAAAATGAAACATCAACTTTTTGACTCTTTCACTGCTGAGCAGTCCCTTAGGTTGACCTCAGCCATGCAAATGCATTGGCGCCCTCCTAACCCAAACGCCTCCGCAGGCACTGAGTGCTCTGCTGTACCAATGAGCACAGTCCGCTCCCGCAGAGCACATGTGTCGGGCTGCCAACTCCTGTGCTTTTTCTTTCTCCTCACCGCCCGAGGTTGTGTGGTTCCAAGAGCTTGCCGGGTGGCTAACCTTGCAGGCAGGTAGTGGTCAAGGGTCACTCCTCGGTGCTTTCCAGGTGTAGCTCTGGTGTAGGGCTGTCCCAACATGCAGAGCCAGGTGGGACTCTAAAAATCAGTGGGCTGTAAGCAACTACAAATCCAGAGTGTGACTGGATGAAGCTGGGATGGGTCTCTGCTGTTCACAGGCTTGGAGAGCTGCAGTCCAGGGCACTTTTCCCTGTCGTTGGTGCTTTGCAAAGCCCATCCTGAGGCGGCTTACTGAGCATCGTGCTCCATGCTCTGGACTTTTTGAGCAGGAGTGCTTGGCAGGCTTCCAGGGCATGGATTTTGCAGCTCTGAGAGGTCTGTGAATAGAATTAACTCTCCTCTCTTTTTCGTGTCCTTAGGTGTGACGGGCAATCAGCCAAATCAACTGCATTTGAACTCGGTGGGGCCTGGATCCTCTCAGAGCCCCATGGGAATGAACCTGCCTGGGCAGCAACCTCTCTCCCACGAACCACCCCCCACCTCCATGATGTCCTCCCCAAACCCACTGGGCTCCAACATTCCTATGCACCCGAGTGCACCAGGGGCAGGCGTGCCCCCCCAGAACCCTATGATGCTGCCCCCAGGCCCCCAGGACTCCTTGAACCAGCAGTGCGGCCCCGTGCCCAATAGTTCGCAGATGATTCCTTCCAACCAGCTCGTGTTTCCCCGCATGCAGCAGTCACACAATGCCATGCCGTCTCCCGCCGGAGGCATGCCCATGGGCCCTGGCGGAGGAGGCGGCCCTGGGATGCAGCAGCATTACCCGCCAGGGATGCCCTTGCCACCTGAGGACCTTCCCTCCCAGCAGCCCGGCCAGATGCCCCCTCAGCAGCACATGATGGGCAAGAACATCCCGCCTCGGATCAGCGAGCCCTACCCACCCGTTCTTCCTGGGGTAGCATCGGTGCTGAACGACCCTGAGCTCAGCGAGGTCATCCGCCCCACGCCCACGGGTATCCCCGAGTTCGACCTGTCCAGGATCATCCCGTCAGAGAAGCCAAGCAGCACCTTGCAGTATTTCCCCAAGAGCGACAGCCAAGCGCCCAAATCGCAGCCTTCCAACCTCCACCTCATGAACCTGCAGAACATGATGGCTGACCAGCCCCCGGTGCGGCCAGGTATGAACGCCCCCAGCCTGCCCGGGCAGCAGGGCATGCAGAGGGGACTCGGCATGCCCATGTGCCATCCCGGACAAGTGCCCATGCTGGGCAGGACAGGCATACCGGCCCAGCAAGGCATGATGGGCAACAGCATGCACCAGGGCATGATGTCTCCACAGCAGAGCCTGATGGCCCAGCAGAATTTCATGCTGATGCAGGCCAAGCAGAGGAGCATGTCTGTGTCGGGGGAGATGTATGCCCAGACAGGACACATGATGTCACCTCAGGGCTCTCTCATGGGGCCCCCGCCTCAGCAGAACCTCATGGTCACGCACCAGATGAGGCAGAGGAGTGTCTCCCTGGACAGCCAGATGCCCTGGGCCTGGGAACATGGCGACCCTGCCTTTCTGACCCCGGCCGGCGCTCGGGGGCGCGGCGGGCACGGGGCTGCCTGTACAAACGTTTTTAAACCTTTCTTTGGGGGAGGGTTGGGGGCCAACGCCAGTGGAGGACACCACATGGGATGCTTTTCATATCGAATTCGCCTCTACACAGAAAACCAGATGTGCAGTAAACTTGATGTGAATTGGGTTTCTTTTTCCTTTTTTGGGGGGGAAGGGAGGGTGGAGGGGCTGGGAGTGGGGCTGTTACTTTGAACCCTGCGTGGTGTCCAGGGACATCCAGACCCTGTGGCAGTTCGTAAAGTTTTCATTTACGGTTTTCCTCCGTCAAGTGTTTTTTCTTTCCCTTTTTCCCCACCCCCCTCTTTTTTTAATTAAACAGTAATTTTTTTTTTTTTATTATTTTTAAGCAACCAAAATGTGCAAGAGGGTTTTTGGAACTAGCTGTAAATAGGTTGCTGGGAAAGGCAAAACTTGTGCTGGTTTTTAATTGTTCTGTATTTCTGTGTTTTAATAGAAGCCTCAAAACATGTTTTAAAAAAACAAAAAAACCAACATGCTAAAGGCAATGGTGTACACAGATTGAAAAATCTCCTTGGGGGAGGCCGGAGGATCCCCCAGGGTGCGAAGGGCATTGAGAGAGATCCCATTTAGAGTGACTCTGTGTCAAACCTGTGTTGTTCACGCGTCTGAACCGTTTGCATGTGCGGGGTGTATAGTTTCACGTGGATCGTAGGCCCCTGCGGAGGCTGTGCCGAGTACACAAACACAACCAACGACAGAGGACCGTCTAAGAGCTGTGGCCCCGGTGAAGCAATGCTGGAGCAATCTGTCTGCATCTGGCAGGGCAGAGGCCGCAGCTTCACGGGATACAGGTGTCGCTGCTCTGCTGCAACGCTGCCATTTCGGACTTGAAGTGGCCAGGATCTGGGCTGCGCGGGTGGTAACATGCTAGACCTGAAGGTCTCGACCAGCCATGTCACCTCTAGTCTCTTCTGTTCCCTTCACGCCATCTCCTCCCCGAGGCAGGGCGGTGCGATGTGTAGGGATAGATAGGCCCCGAGACAGGTGATGCGTTCCTGTGTTTCCACAAGAGGCTCGCTGGGAGCCCCGCTCTTTTGCAGCCTTGCTACATCAGCCCTTCACCCGTCCGTTGCCCTCCACAACTGCACTGCGGCCTCTCCTACCTCTGCTGTTGATTGCTCTCCCAGGTCTTCCTCATGCTTGTTGGTCCTCCTCCTCCAGTTTCGCAGGCAGTCCTAGCTGCATCTTACCCTGAGCTCCTGGCAGCAGCCCTGCCCTGCTGCACAACAGAGGTCCACCTGTCAAAGAGGGCCTTGTGCCTGTATGTGTTACTCCAGCTTAGTGTCAGAGTTGTCGTGTACGGTGTTGGTGGCGTGGCCATCCTGTGCGTTGGACAGAAGAGGCCGAGGTTGTGTTGCAGCCCCTCATTCCTAGGCTCATGGAAACTTGGGCTTTTTTTGGATGGGTTCCACCCTCCCCATCCTACCCTCCATAAGGTCTTCCTGAACGCAGCGCTGATGGTCTTCCCTGCGTTTGTTCACGGAGGGGACCGTGGAGTGACGCACATGCACTTCTGCACACACCGTAGTGTCTCTGGCCCTCCACGAGGACTGTGTTCCAGCGTGGTGGACCCCACGGATTTCCAATGGTGAACTCGGGGCACGCGGTTGCTGGAGGACCACCGGTTGGAGGATTATCTCTGCAAAGCCAGACTTAGCATA